TGAGCCAACAAACAGCTGATCAGCTGTTTGTCGGCTCAGCGCGGCAGCCATGTAAATGTAACTGAAGCGGCGATTATTTAAATCGCGGCTTCATTTCCCTCTGCCGAACAAACAAATCTACATGTCTCCGTCGACGGAGCCATGTAGTGGAGACATACCCTTGGACTCAGCATTCCCAGATCTCTTTGCACCATACCTTGCAGCACTGCATTGCTGCATGAGGCACCTAAGGCACAGACCCCTCTCCGCTCCCATCTGGCGATGGTGAGGGACAGGGTGCTGCCTGGCTATTTCCCTGCTGGTTTCACCTTCCTCATGCTCTGATCCGACTGGCATGAGTCATTTGCACTAGCATTCAGTCAACCTGCTCATGATGGCAATGAAATGGCACTTGGGTTGGCTCTAGCCCCAGTGTCTAATGTTCCACTGATTGACTGAGAATACTTCAAAATGGGAACAAGTCCAGGCAGACTCCACAACCTCATCACCTTACTGAGGCAAAGTCGGTGGCTGTTTCCCCTTTGTCCCAGAAGGTCTCTATAGTATAAAGGAAGAAGAGAAGTAAAAGGACAAGGACAGAAGGTTTCCAGGGCTGCCAGACCTCTCCAGGTGAGTGCAAACTTGTTCTATAATCCGTTGTTGGGCAGACCTTGGTATCAGTTAGAGAGAAGGCCCCAGGGAATGTCAGGAAGCACAAAGCCCTGCTTTAAGGGCATTTGGAGCTGGATTCTCATTCAAAATTTGCAGTTGTCGGTCAAATCTGGAGATACAAATGTATACAGCACGAAGGAGCCAGCTTCTGATAGCTGGATGTCAGCTCCCAACGCAACTAGATATTCAGCCACTCAAGCACTTTCCTTCACATTACATCAGCCCTGTCTTTTCCAGCCTCTCCCACTACCCATTCACGGAAATCCCAGGTGGTCTGCCCCCAAAGAACAGAATACTCCAGTTTGCTAGTTTTACCTTCAATCACTACTCCTGTAAACTGCACAACACTTGTATAAGTGTAACCCACACACCTGCTAGGTGTGGTTCACTGTCCCATCTTGTGGCACTTAGATCACTTACAGAGAGAGAGAGAATGAGGGTGTCTACACTACAGAGTTTTGTCAGAAAAATGGCCTTTTTCCGACAAAACCTGCAATCAGTTCTTCCGAAAGTAAATCGAAAGAACAGAGGCGGTTTTCCGGCATTGGTAATCTTTCAACGAGGAAGAAGCCTTTTTCCGAAAGAGCTCTTTTGGAAAAAGGCACATGTGGACGGGGAAGAAGGAGTTCTTTCAAAAGAAGAGGGAAGAGGAAAAAGCACAAGTGGCCCTGATGGCCACTCAGCTTAAATGTGAGCTAGTGTCCATTCAGTGTAGATGCTGTCTTTCAAAAAAGCAGATCGCTTTTTCGATGCGCTTTTGTGTGTGGACGCTCTCTCTCTCAGAAGAAATATTTTCAGAAGATCTTGTCCAAAAAAAGGTTCTTCACAAAATTTTTTAGAAGAGCAGTCGTGCTTTTTCGGCATCCCTGTAAATCTCATTTTACGAAGAAGAAGGGATGTTCTGAAAAAGGTGGGTTTTCTGACATTTGGCCAGTGTAGATGGGCCAAATGTCGGAAAAGCCTCTTCTGAAAAAAGAAGCGGAAAAAGCTATGCAAATTGTGGTTCTCAATTTGCGTAGCTTTTTCTGGAAGAACAGTGTAGTGTAAACATAGCCGGAGTAAGGTCTTCAGGATTTGGCTCTACAGGTGTGGCTAAACTTAGTATACTCATCACCACAGTATGCATAGTTTGGAATAGCATCAAGTCTCCCTAACTCCATTGTTTATATCCTTAGCGAAGCAAGTAGTTTTGCCCTCTGAGGATGGCAGAACATCAGCACCACAGACTTTGCAGCAGATGCAGAAATGGGTGAAAGGCCAGTGCACAGTGCATAGCTGGGGGGAGAAGGCAATGTCTTCTCGCGGGTGCATAATGCCTGGTAAATTGGCCAGAGAGCGAGGGTGAGTTTGGTATCAAGATCAAGTAAGTTGGCCATGGAGATCTGAGACCAAAGGAAACTCCCAGGTGGCACTACTCTCTCTGGGACAAAGTCTGCATTCTTTACTCACTTAATCTACTGACACACAGGTCACTATAAATACATCATCTCCAGGTCACTAACAAGGTGTCTTTGGTGGCCTTTCACTATGCCTAACCAGAACACAGCACCTATACATTGGAACATAGCTAGCTGGCAAGGAGATGTCACTGTAACGGTTCTTTACTACACAGCACTTTCCATCTAAGGCTCTCAAAGCACTTCACAAAGCATTTAATGACATTCTCATGTGATAGGTGTTGTTATACCCACATTACAGGCAGGTAAACAGAGACACAGGGAGAAGAAGTGACTTTCCCTAAGCACACACAGTGGGTCTGAGGCAGAGTCAGGAAAAGAACCCAAAAGTCCCAAGTTCCAGTTGCCCGGCTCTAACCATTGCACCCTATGCACTTCCACTTATGAGCCCCAGTTCCCAGTCTCCCCCCACCACCGTCCCTGCTTTGACCACTAGTCACTGAGTCCTTGATTTAAAGTTTGACTAGTTTGAGCCATGCAGTTATTTAACTTTTAAAAACCAGACAGATTGCAAAGCAGCAAAATGAATACCTGTGACCTTTCCTTCTTGCAATTCTGCACCACGCCCCCCAGGAGAGCTTTGTTTTTACCTCCATTAGTAACTAAAGAATGGGCCATTTTTTCCTTCCCCACCCTGATATGGAGAGAAATCAGAAATATCCTTCTTCCTTACCTTGCAGAGTCTTATCCTGGCAGGCCAGATGCAGGAGCAGTGCACCCGGTTTCCTAAGTGAACTTTAAAAAAAAAAAGGAAGAAAGAAAGAAAAGAAATCTCGTTATCCCAGCAATGTCTCTTGCAAAAGGGCTTCTCTGTGCCCTTCCCCAGTGAGGGCTAGAAACAAAGTTGTGAAGCTGGTGGGGGTGGGGAGATGACTGACAGCCCTGAACTATAGAATCATCCCTTACCTTAGGCCATGCAGTCTGATTGGCTGCCTGCTGACATCCCCAAGCCCTGCACTTTTTAATAGACGCTTTTGGATGATCTACAGGGGGAAAGGCTTGGAGAGGTGCGTTTCTGACAAGAGAGAAAGTCATTCTGCACTTCAAGGGACTTTGTTGGACTGTTTAGGGTGAGGGGGGATACTTCATTTTCACCCTTCATGGTTTTCTGAAAACTTCACTGAGGTTTTCCCTTGCACCAGTCTGGACTAATGGATTACCATCTGCTTGGATTAATTTTATTTTTTCTCTTCAGTGGCACAAAGGTCTTAGCCGGGTACCCAATTTGGTGGTAAGATTCACCCTCCCCTCCCCCACAGTTTTTATGATTAATGGATTCATTAATTATTAGAGATGGGGTTTGTTTGTGTGCATGTACCTTCCTTCCCACCCTCAGTTCTTCTGAGCCAGCCACAATTGCGTGTTTGGTTCCAAAAACAATTTCTGCCGTGTCGCCTGGTAATTCATTAAACATTTGGGGGCTATTTTTAAAGGACAATCTATAGGTTTATCCTTGCATTAATGGAGATTTCTCCAACCCACTTAATTCTCCAATTTCAGCCATTGTAGTTGAATTTAAAATAAATATACAAGAATGTATTTGTATTTACTGTGCAATATAATTTTCATCTGTCACAGGACACTGGCTTTTGTTCATAGGTAGATTTCTCCTTCCCTTCTTATTAAACACTGTTCAATCCATTAATATTTTTTAAATTCTATTTTCTTTTGGGCTGATGCAGTTTTGGGTCTTCTTTCTGTCCTTTTGTTTTATTCAGTCATTCATGTGAATTTAGTCCGGGAAATATGCAGAGGACATAAATGGCACCCGAGAGAATTTTTATATTGCAGCTATGACTCTTATTTTCTCTTACCAAAAATGAAAGAAATCAGTTTTGATCTTAGAATGTGGCTGATAATTGACCTATATTTTTCTGTCTTTTAAAAAGAAACACATTAACAAAATTTGATTAAAGGTTAGGTGCCTCCTCAAAGAAAAGAAATGAAAAACCATACAATCATTAGTCACTTGAAGACAGCAGATATTTAGTAGCATACTACTGTATTTCAGTCAATTTCTCAGTTTATCACATAGAATTTCTCATTGGAATGAGTCTCCGAAGTCTCTGTACAATGTAGATAAGGGACTAGGTACATACGGATCCATGAGGCAGAAAGTAGTTATGACAAAATCCTTGAATTATTTTCTCCCTTCCAGAAAAGGTATTTTTATTAATTAATTACATTTCTCCTATGCAGACTTGGAGATGCAAAGAAGTAGGCTGTACTAAACTTGGAAATGGACTGCCATGTCTGGGGGAAAGGGAAGGATAATTAAAAAAATCTGTTAATTATCATGGGGCTTAAGAATGAAAATTTCAATTATTGCACTCCAAGCATGTCTAATAATATGAGTATATGATGTTTAAGGCTTTAAAAGATATTCAGACTCACCAAATGGCTAACTATCAACCTTTGAATTTTTTTCCTGCAAAAAAAGAATTCTGCACCTTAATTACGAATGCTGAACTTGAGGGCCAAAGCCAGGCATTAGCGGTCCACCAAAATGAAGACCCTCTCAGACTCTTCTCCTCTTCATTCAGTACTGTGTGTCTGGAGAGGGGATGCCAGTGGGGAGCATTGATCAAAGTGGCTGTATCTAAAGAGGAAAAATGGCTTTGGAGCTGCACAGGATGACTGGACTTTGTTGTACAACCAGCTGTTCTAGAATCCATCTGGGGTCTCCCTGAATGAGATTCTGACATAATTTACATTGGGTTAAATAACTGAGTCGGGCGGTATCTGCTAAGACTTTCGAACTGAGGAATGAAAATCCCCTGGAAGAGGTAGTCTGTTTTCCTTCTCAAGGAGAGGTGTCTCCCTTAGAATGAATCTTCTCCCTGTTGGCAGAGAAACACACCACAGGGAGTGCCTTCCCCAGGCCCTTGGCTTCCCTGGCACAAACAATACAAACAACCGGCATGTTTTCTCATCACTTACACAAATAGGTTGGGCTCGGCAGGCAGTGAAATGGGAGAGAAGAGGTAAAACAATCAATATAGAACTTTCCTACAGTTCAAGAAATCTGTCCATTGCCTTGTTTAGAATAGCCCGATACCCTAGCAGTACTCAGAATGCTAACAGAGTCTCTGCCACATTGATATGATGGGGTGACGGAGTCTGAAAACTGAGAGGAGGGAGACAGAGAAAGTGGCTAATGCTTTTGAGAGATTTTTATGGGCTCTGGAGCAAGGACTCCCAGGCAGTTTGAGAATCCTCACCGCTAAGGCCATCCATTCTAAAGCAGGGGAATAATCAAGAGTTCCAGACCTAAGGCAAAACACTTAGCACACTCTTAATTTTAAGCAGGTCCTTAAGCTCCACTGAAGTCACCTGCTTAAATGTTTTGCTCAGCTGTGTATACTGAGCAATAGCCTATACTGAGAAGCCCCTTGAAAAGGCAGCAGCCTTATTTTAAGCACACCCTCTAAAATACTCTTATGACGTACACAATGTCCTTTAACCAAAGATGAGCTGAATGACAATTGTTAGACCTTCAGGTAGGTGCTAGATGTGGATTCCACAGGACCCCAAGGCTGTAGGGGTATGTCTAGACTGCGAGGATCTATTGGAAAAAGATATGCAAAATACTTTTGTTGGAAGAAGCTTTTCCGAAATTTGGCCCATCTAGACTGGGCCAAATTTTGGGGAAAAACCCTCTTTCGAAAGCCCCCTTCTTCCTTGTGGAACAAGGAATACCGGGGCTTCTGAAAGGATGTGTTCGCTCTTCTGCAAAAAAAAGCAGAAGAGCAAATGTGTTCCCTGGACACGGCAGAGGTATCCCAAAAAACCCTGCAGTCTATCCGTAGCCCTAGGAATACGATGCCCTGCCCTTCTAGTGCAACTCCATTGGGCATTTTCTCAGCTCGGGTTGTAATCTTTGGTTCTAACATTACATTCCACTTCCATTTGAAGTGGGCCATCCCTGCTGCAGTCAATGGACGTGAGCCAATAAAAATGGGGGCCAAACTGGATACTGTTGTGTATGCAGGGAGTGTTAATGTATGCTAAGAAATACAATAAAAACATGCAATAACAAACAGCCAATGTGAATAGCAGACTGAATCCAAGGTCTCTAGAATAATTCTGATTCTTCTGTAATTCAGCTAAAGGATTCAGTTCAGTGTGGAAATTAATCAATATAATGTCTTCCAAATCAAATAAGAATAAAATAATATAAAATCCTCTGAGGAACTCACATGTCTCAACATTTTGTAGCACATAAGCCTGATGACAGTAGCTGGAGACACATGATAGACAGGGTCTGTCCAAATTTTCTCATGATTGTCTCTTCTTTTAATGTATCTGTTCTGGGAACATCTGCAAGAGTGTTCAATGCACACTGCCAGCTGTTTGGTTTTGTGGATCATTCTGGATGCCTTGTTTTTTTAATATCTTGGAGGAGGCAACTCTACATGTAGCAGATACTTCCCAATATCTGGAGCTGTTACAATCTATAAGATCCACAAAGAACTGGTCAGCAGAGTTGAATGATGGAATATTCCCAAGACCAGCCTATGGGAATATAAGGCACCTACTAAAATTGAGTCCAATATCCATATGATGAATGACCCTTCAAAGGCTCAATCCTATACTACAGCAAACCTCCCCCTGCAGTTGATGGTCACTCTCTTGCACTAAGGGCTTTGGGACTGGGCTGTTGGCCTCTCTTCTAGAAATTAATACCAGAGATAGGACAGGTAATTTGGGATGATTTTTCAGTCTGCAAAGTCAAACCCAGACCAGATGTTGATTGGGATCCAGGTTCCATTTATATGAGATTTTGTAGTTCTCTGGGATTGAGATACATAGTTCCAACCCATATGCGTATAACATTCATTTTATATAGAACCCTTTCTGAGGGAGGTTCTGGTTCAACAAGGTTTTTAAGCATGCATGAAACATTAGAGTGAAGGGGAAGTAAATGGGTCTACATGCAAATTAAAATAGCTTGGTTGGTCTCCTTCCCATTTACCCAGCCACCACAACCATTTAATAAAAAGAGATAGCCCTACCCAACAAAAGTTGACATGCTAATAAGAAGAAACAAATAAATTGGCTGAAACAATAATTAGAAACAGAATAACAAAACACCTGAATCATGAGATGATAGGAGCTGTAAAGGAAAATTATGTCCCACTAATCACTTATAATTATTTGAACATGTCATAAAATAGTGGAAAAGGGAAAATCCATTGGCATTTACTAGTTGAATTTATTTAGACTGACAAAAGACCTTTAGCCAGGTACCACACAAAAGGCTACTAAAGAAGCTAAGTAGTTACAGCATGAGCAGCTAAGTATGATCATGGATCAAAAATGGCTAGAAGCAGAAAGCAAAGGGTAGGATGAAATAGTTAATTGTCACATGGCAGAAGTTAACAGTGGGAACCTCAAAGTTCCATACTAGCTCCTCTGCTGTTTGATACCTTTATTAATAGTCTAGAAAGAGAATTGACCTGGAAGAAGGCAAAATTTGCAGATAATTCAAAATTGTTTAGGTTAGTCACCAACAGAGAGGAGTGTGAAGAACTTGACCATACTTGGTGAATGGGCAACATGTTGGCAAATATCAGAGGGGTAGCCGTGTTAGTCTGAATCTGCAAAAGCAGCGAGGAGTCCTGTGGCACCTTATAGACTAACTGAAGTGTAGTAGCATAAGCTTTCGTGGGCAAAGACCCACTTCGTCAGATGCATGTAGTGGAAATTTCCAGAGGCAGGTATAAATATGCAGGCCAGGATCAGGCTGGAGATGACAAGGTGGATCCAATCAGGGAGGATGAGGCACACTTCTAGTAGCTGATCTTGAGGGGTGAATTCCATTCCTAATATCTGATTTGTGTCCATTGATTCTTTTACGCAGGGACTGTCCAGTTTGGCCGATGTATATAGCAGTGGGGCATTGTTGGCACATGATGGCATATATTATGTTAGTAGATGTGCAGGAGAATGTACCAGTGACAGTATGGCTGATCTGGTTAGGTCCTGTGATGGTGTTGCTGGTGTATATATGTGGGCAGAGTTGGCTCCAAGGTTTGTTGCATGGATTGGCTCCTGAGTTCGAGTTATTATGGTGCGGTGTAGTTGCTGGTGAGAATATGCTTCAGGTTGGCGGGTTGTCTGTGGATTGGCCTCATCCCACGAGGAATAACAGGGCTGTGAACAAAGGGCTTTGATGTCGGCAGGGGAGCGTCCAGACTAGCGCGCTGAGCGGACAAACAGCTGATCAGC